CTTTAGTAAATCAATAAAAGACCGGATACAAACTTGATAACTTGATTTAAGATTTTGCTGCGGTGCAAAAAATATTTATTACCACCGAGTGGAATCTTTACGGCAACAAAATTGTAACTATATTTTTTTATTCGTTCGTTTATCCCGATTGCGCATAAATTTAGCAATATGACTTATCACAAATTTTTCGTGCTACGAATCATTATATTTTATTATTATTTCATCCCGCCGTTCGATTACGGGTAATACCAAGTAATCTAAATTTTACTCCCAAAGATTTAGGAAAAACGATTAATCATAAAAAAAAACGACGTATATCGATGTGGAAGCACGGTTACCACGAAAAACTCGTGGGACGCTATTTTCTGGTGAAAAACGCGTAAAAAAAAATACAATTGGAGCTTCCCCTACCGCAAAGAGGATCGTCTTCGGTTTTGCGAAAGGAGTAGGTACGCGAGACAGCTCAGCGCGACTCAAATTGTATGAAGATTTATGTTAATCGATTGCGTTCGCGCTTGTATAATGCCTCTAGAGAATACGTGAAATTGACTCCGCTTGTCCGAGTCTTACCCGTCGATATTCAAATGAAAGAGGTGTATACATACAGAAAACGAGATGCATGAGTTTGCACGGTGTATAACGCCCGCCCGGAGCTTCGGGGATGTCGAACGGAGGCAATAAAAGACGTATCAGAGATGAGAGAGGAGCTCCACTCGGGCTCCATAACAATTAGATAACCGGTCTGGCGTAGACGTCGGGAGAAACCCAACACTCGATGATATCTCGGATTTCTCGCGTCTTGTTTGCATGGACGATTCAATCGCTCTCTTCCTAGTGCGTCTGGTTTTATTGTCGCGGGTATACCCATACGGCTACGATGTAATGACATGTGGCGGATAATTTCATCGTTATTTTTACCCCAATCGTGGGTGCATCAAAGGATATTTACAATAGTTCCGAGGAACGACCGGTTTTTCATAGGCCATTGTCTTTCAGAAAGAGTAGGCCATTTCAGAATCCAAAGTCACGATGTTTTGCAATCATCTCGATGATTTTGCATTCGGGAAACATTTATTACGCTGCTTTTGCTTGTACAAGGGGGACATCGGTACTAATCAAGCCTGCATTAATAAATGCATCGGTGAGGCCTCTTAAAAAAAAAAAAAAAAAAAAAAAAGTACTTTTCTGTTGGCTTAAGCTGAATAAGTACACTTCATTGATAAGAATCTAACCCGTTCGATTTGCAATTTGTTAGGTTATTAATAAATTATTTTACAACGCCGATGATAAATGCATTTTTCTTGCACATTAGCTGACTAATCAATTCTAAAATTACTCATTTTTTTTCTTCTACGGACAAGAATTTCGGATCATTAGATAGGCAATGTGGGCATGAGCGTAATTTCCTACAAGACTTCCAATGAACATATACTATCAACTATCCACGAGAGTATTATTTCATACAACTATTTATGGTAGATAAAAATGTTTAAAAAAATATTACGCACCCCTTGGTTTGTTGGAGAAACTCCTGGTATAGTAGCGTATCCATTGACACACTGAGCTTTAGTGACACAGGCTTTTCCCACGCCTTGGCAGTTGACGTATCCAGTTTCGAATGGTGGATTGGGTTTTGGAATGACGGGATATCCACCAGTAATAACATCACTTGTACCAGAAGTAGATTGATGACTTTCTTGATGACTTTCTTGTCCATGGACACCACTCTGACCATAGTTACCATTTTGGCCATGGACACCACTCTGGCCATAGTTACCATTTTGGCCATGGACACCACTTTGGCCATAGTTACCATTTTGTCCATGGACACCACTCTGGCCATGGATACCACCCTGTCCATGAATACCGCTTTGGCCATGAATACCATGTTGGCCATGGACACCACTCTGGCCATGAATACCATGTTGGCCATGGACACCACTCTGGCCATGCATACCACCTTGTCCATGAATACCGCTTTGGCCATGAATACCACTTTGGCCATGGATGCCAGCCTGACCATGGATACCAATCTGGCCATGACTACCACTTTGACCATGTAACCCAACTTGCATACTACCATCCCCAATGTGATGTACTCCAAGTCCACCGTGATTATTAAAATGTCTGTCATCTTGCACGTAGGTAAGCGTATTAGATCCCACGTCAGCTTGACTACCATGACCGAAATTACCTCCTAAACCGATTCCACCACTATTTTGTTGGCTGAATCCTCCATGAGCTCCACCTCCGAAATTTCCACCAAAGTGTCCAGTACCAAATCCTCCGTGACCTGCGTTAGCTTGATTTGCTCCAGCACTGGCTACTCCACTGGCCCCAGCGTGGGTATGCTCTTGATTCGGAAATTGGCCATTTAAGAATGGATTACCAGCGGTGTTTTGTAACACATTGTGAGCACTATTAACAGTAGATCCAGAAACCACTCCACCTACGGGGTTGTTCGAACCTCCAGAAGCCGAGCAGCCGTTCTGATTGCACGGACCCTGAGCGAAAGGACTGCCAGATTGCATCCACCAATACTGTGACCCCAGTTGACCAACGTTGGCACCAGATCCGCCAGCTGCGGCTGCGCCATTCAAACCATTATTCGATCCAGCGTTCAGGCCAAGATTGAAATTGGCATTAGCTCCGCTGCTGGCGCTCGCAGTAGCGCCAACACCAGCATTGGAACCAGTGCCGAGGAAGTTGGATGGAACGTGGCCGTTCAAAGAACCACTGGACTGGTAGCTCTGTTGGTTTTGGAAGGCACCGCTCGCACTGAATCCATACTTTTTGTTACTCTTGACATTGAGGCCCTTTACAACTCCGTTCGATTCTGTTTCCTCCGCGTTCGATACGCTATAGCTACTTGCGCTTGCACTCGATGCTATCTTGTCGTAGTGATAGCCATCTTCGTGGGCAGAATCAACAGTGGCCTCGGCGAACGCGTTGACGTAACAAGTCAACGCCGCTAGGCCCAACAAAAGAGCCGGCAAACCTCTCATGTTGAAGCTGAAAAAAACGTTTTTTTTTTCATTACATTTTCATTCGTTTGAACATTTGGTTATTCCAGATTTTTCTGCTGCTACATTCACAGAGAAGTGTTCATCTTCAAAGATTTTAAAATCATGCTGACGAGAAATGGCCTAAATACCCTTAAAGGGATATGCTTTATAAAAATAGATGTTTTATAAAAAATAAAAGTATTCAATGATTTATAATTGATTGATAAGCAACGCATAGGATGACTTTTAGAAATGTTCAACGACAAAAAGTATCTCCGGAATGATTGTCAGCATGGCTTTTGAAATATTTATTTCCTTTTTACAATACATGGAGACATTGTAGATACAAGGAAATAAGTTCAACAGTAAAAGATCATTCAGTATCATGAATAATTTAGATGCACACGTGAAAAGCATGATGTACAAAAATATAAAGTTTTCCGTTAAATGGGAATTCCAACGACAACAACGATTAACCGACTTTTTTTTCGGATTCCAAAATAGCTATATACATCGAGCAATAAATATAGAGGAAAGACGAGATGTACATGAGAAGACTTGTCTTTTGGTCCAGTGTGCGAGCACATGATCAAATTGAGGTTCTATTTTAGAGTAAGGAAAAATTGACGGTGCCATGAAAGTGCGCTTGTGCGATAAAAACTGTAATAAATATTTTTAAGACAAACTTCAATTGATTACCTCTCGGATATATCAACGCGTTGTGTTAAAAGCTTAGTGAGAGTGATTCGTGTTTTTTTTCCCAGATATAAGATTTCCTGTTTATACCAAAATGACACTATTTTTAGTACATGACCTGTTTAGAGTAAATAATATTATGTTCTAAAAGTTTGGGGCAAAAACCCATATTTCTGCGTCGTTGTTAATGGAATTATTTTATTTTTAAATTTTACTGAAAAAAAAATAAGAATCTACTGCTACACTTTAAGACAATAATAATTATACGTTTTTATGATTATATATACGGAGAAATTCTAATCTTCCCAAATAAATAATTTACTTTATAATCAGCACCACTTATCATATTTCATGATTCCTTGTGACTTTTTGTGTTTCGCGTATTTCCTTGAGCCTACGGAGATGTTCCCAATTTTTATATTAACATTTCCAAGATATTACTTCACCCGCTTTCTAGAAATCACGTAACCGGTCAACAGCTAGTAATAAATGGGCTATCGTCTTCACTCTTATCTCATTCGGTTACAAAGATACGATTCTGAAAAATAACTGCCGTATTTCAAGGGGATGAAAACATTTTTCTAATGATGATAAAAATTGATCTACTGAACAAACTCACAGCGAAAACAAAACGCTTCTTCTTTTAGACATCGGAATGACTATTTTGACAGTAATATTTTAATTTTTTATTTTCCTTACCAAAAAACCACAGATTTTTGCTATTCTTTCAACTATTTAATATGATTGTTTTTTGGATTTTTAGAGTTATATTGAAATGGTCAGATACTGTAAGCTTTTTACTTTTCAGAAGTTTTATCCATGAATCATTATCTTGCTGTAATATTTATTTATTTATGTTTTTTATTTTCACCATCGATAGTTACAGTTTTTATCAAAAACCTAAAATTTTTCCATCGAGAATTTAAACTTTGATCAAAGTAAATACATTCCTTTTGTCAACAAAATTCAAAATTAAAAGTACAAGAATTTAACGATAGAAATTTGTATCGGATTATTCTTAACATTATTCCTGTGACAAAAATATATTTGCACATGGGTTTGAATAATTGAATCGGAAAAAGGCAAATGATTCACGAGCTAAAAATACAAAACATGCAACAGACTTCAGGTTTCAACATATGTGCAGACATGCGTCCGTTGCAATGCTCGATTAGTCGAAGGAACGTCCTTGCTTTGAACAATAGGTTTTTCGGGGCTTGATCGTGACACTTTATAAACACACTCGCAGCTGTCAGCCCACGTCGAGAAAGGCAATAATCACGACTTTTCTTACGTTGAAGTTTAAAAAAAAGTGCATGTGTATTCTGTATAAAAAAACAGCTCCAAAAGTAAGTGTGCATTCTTCTGAACAGGTCAAAAAGCTCGTTTGCAATAACTTCATTGAGCACTAAGCCTTTTCTTCATGAAATTATATTATTTATGATTATAGAAATAATTATTTAAAATTGACTCGTCCATCNATGCGCACCATGTCTTGGAATTTAATACATGAGCACTGAGTCTTAACAACGAAAGCACAAAAGAGCGTCTGTGTTTTACATAACATGCACAAAAACGCTGTTCTGATATTTCAATGTCAAGGTCCTGCGCATACTAAGCCTTTTCTTCATGAAATTATATTATTTATGATTATAGAAATAATTATTTAAAATTGACTCGTCCATCGGTTGACTTTTTTTGTAAGTTTAGTTTTTAAGAACACGATTTTTTTTATAATCCATACAAAATCATTTTAACTTTGTTTTATGATGCTTTTTCAAAGTTTTGCTTATAAATAAGCACTGATGTTATGACTTGTTAATTTTGAATTGTTTCTATCAGCGCAAAACAAATATTTTAGCGAGATTTCGTGTTGATTTCAATTAAATATGTAAAGATTCGAATCATCATTGGATGTAAACATCATGTAGTTTTTTTATAAGTGGATTCATCACGTAGATTAAAAATATGGAGACACAAAATTCAAATTTTTTTGCTTTGTTACTTTACATACGTATTGACTGCCTTTACAAAAATTGATTCAATCAAAATCAATAAAAATTTTATTTTTATCATTATTAAAATATGAAAAAAAGATGAAACTTCAATTAAAAAAAAAAAAAAAT